GGGCGGGGCAGGGCCTCGGCGGGCAGGGGTCACGAGGCCCACGCCCTGCCTGCCGCCGGGGCGGGGGCCGGCCCAGTCCCACACCCCCTCTTCTCACACCCCAGCGTTCCCCTCCGTACCCCAGGCCTGGGGCCTGTGGGCGCTCCTCGGCGCCGTGACGCTCCTGCTTCTCATCTCACTGGCTGCACTCTTGTTCCAGTGGACCCGCGCCCGCAGCGGGAGCCGGCCAGGGGACGCAGGGTGAGCAGAGGCAGACGGGGCAGGTGACTGAGGGCCCCTTGTCCACAGAAGTCCACACTCACCCCCTAACTCTGCATTGCAGCTCTGGAGCGTGTGTGGAAGAGGCGCCCCTGTATGGGAACCTGCACTATCTGCAGACAGGTAGGGCCCACCCAAGGGCGGGCACAGGGACAAGGTCCTGGGGGCCGGGATGCGGACACGCGGGAGAGGAACAAGAAGCAGACCGATTTCCCACTCCCTGTCCCAGGACGGCTGTCCCAAGAGCCGAGGCCGGGCCAACAGGACCCGTCCCCTGGAAGCTCTGCCAGGGTGAGTCTGCTGTGGTTACAGAGAAGGGGAGAAAGGGACTTCTCGCAGGGCCCAGGGAACTAACACCTTGCATCTCCAGGTTGCAGAGGAGGCGATGTGCTACACCAGCCTGCAGCTGCCGCCTGCCCAGGGCCGGACCCCCAGCCCTGGGGCTCCCATCAAGTACTCCGAGGTGGTGGTGGACTCTGAACCAAAGCCCCAGGCTGTGGACGCAGAGCCGGAGCTCTACGCCTCAGTGTGTGCCCAGACCCGCAGAGCCCGGGCTTCCTTCCCAGACCAGGCTTATGCCAACAGCCAGCCCGTGCCCAGCTGATGGGGCCTGGCAGTGGGGGCATGCACGGCCTGCGCCCCCATTACAGAGGCTCCTGGCACTCTGTTTGGGGTGTGCCTGTTTCCCAGCCATCCCTGAGGACAGCCAGCCGCTGCCCAGTCAGAGGTGACGATCTACCCAGAACCTCCTACCTACGCTGTGAGGGAAGCATCTCAGGGTACAGCACAGCAGGCCCTGGCTTCCCGAGGACGGAGCAGCAAAGGTAGTGGCCCCAACCCCACTTTTCTACCTATTCCTCTCAGCCCCAAAGTCCCAGGGACTCACTTCCTCCTCCTTCCGAATCAACCAGAGCCTCCCCACCCCCTCCCTCAGCGCCTACCCGACACTAGGTGTCTTCTCAGGCACCGGAAGTGGGCAGCCAGCAGGGAGGGGTAAGAGCCCCAGAGGATGTGGGTGGGTGTCATCTCTGGGAGCCCACAGACTGGAAGGGTCTTAAGGACCTGTAGACCTGAACAGTCCAAGCCTGGCTTCTGACTCGAGGACCCTGGCAGGAAAATACGGTCTCCATGCTGCTGTCTCTGTCATGTCCCCTACTTTTCAAATAAAACTTTTCTAAATGGGTTTAGATTTTTACCTAGAAGCCGGCAGGTCTGCAGCAGGTCTCACAGGGTGGTGGTGTGCGCTTTGCTGTCTGCACAGAGCGCTTCTGGTGCTGAGTGGGGAAGAGACCAAGGGGAGGATGGAGTGCAGCTCCTCAGCTGCCCCTGTTGCTGCAAGAACGTTCTCAGGGTTTGCACTGAGAGGCACCTATCACCCCTGGAGTCTGCAAGCCCACCCACCCAAAACTGCTCTCCCTTCACCCTCCAACTATGCCACCGCCCCTGCGAACCTGCTGGCCCAGCTCTTCCCGTCCCCATCGATGCCCTGCCCCCAGGAGTCCGTATGTACCCATCTGGGCATCAGGAGCCCCGTCTTCTCTCTGCCAGCCTTCTCTTCACTCCACCACTGTGCCAAGTCCACCCCATCTCTGCCTGTCTCTCAACTGTCCAGTGAAGCCAGACAGCTGCAAGCCTGGCAATAGCTTTGTTGCCACCACTTTCATTTAATCCCTATGCAATCTGCCCATCGCTTGCTATATTCTAAACCCCAGCCTCCTGCACTGTATAGCACAGGTTGCCATCAAGGTTAGAACTGTGGGCTTGGGAGCCAGGCCCCTGAGTTCAGATTCTACTTCTGCCACTTACCGAACAGCTATGGGTTCTTTTTTCCCCCGTTTTGTATTGTTTTGTTGAGACAGGTTCTTGATATGTACTCCAGGCTGACCTTGAACTCACTATGTAACTCAGGCTGGCCTTGAACTCTAGGTGATCTTCCTGCCTGAGTCTCCTGAGTGGGATTATAGGTGTGCACCGCCATGCTCAGTGTAGCTGTGTGTTCTTGACCAGTAAGCCCTCAGTTTCTCAATCTGTAAGATGGGGAGAATAGTAATAGTGCCTATTTTTAAGCATTTAAAAGAGAGTAAGTGTACAGTTATGCTAGGAAGTATTAGAATAAGATAAACATGGGATCCTCCAGGTGACCCATGCCTGTGATCCCAGCACTTGGTAGGCTAAGGCAGGAAGATTGCTGCAAGTTTGAGGCCAGCCTGGGGTACAGATGCAGAGAGAGAGAAAGACACACACACACACACACACACACAGAGAGAGAGAGAGAGAGAGAGAGAGAGAGAGAGAGAGAGAGAGAGGATTCTCTGAAGAACCTCATAGGCAGGAACATGACACATGCAGCTGGGAAAACAGAAGGACAGGTAACAGTCCAGCAGAGGGAACCACAAAGCAAAGGAAGAAACAGCTCTACACTGGTCAGCTCATCAGCTCTGTCACCTGGGCAGCAATGCACTCACTGTCTGTCTGTCTGTCTGTCTGTCTATCTCCTCAATCTGTCTTCTGGTCCCGGTCTGCGCCACCTTTCCCGGAACCCATCTCTGATCTGACCAACCCCTCATTCTGGCAAAAGCTCCAGTAGGGCAAGCTCCTCTCAGCTCCAGCTTTCCGTTGGGGGCAGGAAATAAATGCTTGATTTTGGGCCTGAGCGCGAGGCCTCCTCCACCTGGGCCTCTGCAGGTGCAGCTTGACAGACTTCTGAGGTTTGCAGGGCAAAACAGAGGGGATGCTGAGGTTTTTCACCTCCAAGATTCTCGTCTTTCCATGTAGAATCCCAAAGAAAACCACAGGGCAGGGAACCCTGTGCTTGCCTCTGGTGGTCTCAATTACAACGGGAGCCCCTGCCCAGAAACACCCTAATGCCCTGGGGATCCTTGGGCCTCTGAGGACCCCACCCCGGGCCTCCCCAGGAGCACCCAGGGCGCAGGGAGAGGCAGGAAGCTGGGGCTGTGTGGGAGGGAGGCTGGGGGCGGACACCGGATGCGGGCAACCACCGCAGTGGATGTGGGGTTCTCTGGTCGCTGCTCTCTAACGAGGGCTCAGGTGCTCGCTCTAGGAGGAGGGCTCCTCTCTGCACGAAGCGGGGATCGGGATCCCCCCACGCCGCTGGGACGAGCCAGAAAAAGGCTCATCAACCTAATGCTCCCAACCTAAGCCGCCAGCGTGGGCCCAGACCCTCTTCTTCCCCCAGCCGGACCGACGCGCTCAGGCCTGCGCTCCGGCGCCGTCCCCGGCTCTGCGCCTGCGTGGAGCTGCCGCGGCGCGCGGCACTCTGGGAGGTGTAGTCCTCCCGGGTTTGGGGCCGCTGCCACGCCCGGCCCGGCACTGGCGCGCGGCCCCGGCCCACTCGCCCTGCTCTGGGCGGCGAGACTGTCTCGGATGGCTCCCTCTTAAATTGAGTCTCCGCGAGTGATCCCACTCATTGGCCGTGGGAGTGTGACTTGGGCCGTCCGCCTTGCAGTCCGCAGCCCGCGTCTTTCGCCCCCTCTGTCCCGAGCCCCGCAGCCGCTCCGCTTAGCCCCGGGGCTGCTGCTCCGCCCGGCCGCGGCCCGGACAGCGGGGCGGCGGCTCCCGAGCTGACGCTGAACCCGGCGGCGGGAGCTCTGCGGCGCGCTGACCCCTCGGCCGGCCCAGTGCCAGACCTCCCCGTCTCCGCAGCCCGGGCCGCGCCCTTTGTGGACCCCTTTGTGCCCGGGGTCCAGCGTTCCAGCCCGGAGAGCCCGGTCCCCGTCCCACGAGGACTTTTCCTTTCCTTCCGAAATCTTAGTGACCCAAAGAGTAGGGTCTTTGGAGCCAAGATTCAAGAACGGGACCTTTTTGTTTGTTTGGTTTTGAGACAGGCTCGCCAGGCTTGCCTTGAGTGGACTACGCAGCCCACGCTGGGCTCAGGTTCTCGGCGACCCTCCTGCCCCAGCGTCCTACGTGCTGGGGTGCAGGTGAGCGCCGCGCCACCGCGCCTGCGGGGACAGGAGGTTCTCAACGAGTTAGTTATGGGTAGAGAGGGGCCCACTAGCCAGGACCCCTCTGTCTCTGGCTTTGTTCTGCAGTTGGTCAAAGTAAATTTATTTAAAAATCTTTCAGTTTTTTGAGACAGGGTCTCGCTGTGTAGCCCAGGCTGGCCTCGAGGTGGAAGTGTTCCTCCTGAGGCACCCTCCGAGTGCTGGGGCTGCAGGCGCACCCTGCTTGGTCAAAGAGTTCAAATACCAGACTGGCTTTGGCTACAAGGAAGGACATGGAGAAAGACCAAGTCTTAATGACTTCATTTTAACGTTGGACCCAGTCATCCCCAGAGCTAACTCTGCCTTCTAAACTTACCACTTATGTAAGCTAATAAGTTCCCTTTTGGCTTAAAAAAGTTTTCTATCTTTTGCAACCACAAGTCCTGACTAATTCTGTGGGGGAGAGCAGGCCAACGGCCAGCGGCCAGCGTACGCCGCTGCCCCGCTCAGCCCTGACGCCCAGCTCCTCGGGGAGGCGGCCTCCGCTCAGCGTTGACTCAGCCTCTTGCCTGGTCTGTCAGTTTCAGCAGCTGCACAGCTAGGAGGAGGTGGAGAGGTTTGTCCAAATTCACACCCTCTGCAGGGACCTGTGAGTCTTCCTGAACACCCTCAGACATGGGGCTCTCCCTACTGACCAGCTACACATTTCTAATCTTTTTTACTGATAAAACTTTTTATTTGAAACCAGATCTGCCTCTTTTGTTTGTATGTTTATTGTATTACTGGGAATTGAACCCAGGACCTACGCACCGAGCTACATTCTCAGCCTTTTATTTTTATTTTTTTGAGACACAGACTCCTTAAATTGTTAAATTGCCCACAGTGGGCTTAAACTTTCAGTCCTCCTGCCTCAGCCTCCCAGCGTGCTGAGAGTACCGGCATGAGCCACCATGCCCGACCAGTTCTTGTTACTTTTCTCCTGGATCTCTCTCCTGTATATGACAATCCTGGAGGATCTGAAAGCTCGGTCTTATGAACAGCCTAAATTGTGTGTGAGTGTCTTTCCCAGGAAAAGCTGTCTACATTTCCTCGCACAATTCTTTCATAGACCTAATTAGCAGTCCTCGTTTCTTCCACTGTTTTACTTGATTGGAGCCCCCCCCCCCTTTTCTGGGGATTAAACCTAGGAAGTGCTGAACTACCTTTTAATTTGTATTTTATTTATTTATTTATTTTAGACAGGGTCTCATTATGTGGTTCAGGCTGGTCTTGAATTCACTATGTCGTCCAGACTGGCCTTGAATTTGCAGTCTTCGGGTCTCAGCCTCAGGAGTAGCTGGTGTTAGGGACACGGGCCTCCACACTTGGTGATCAGCACCCCATTGGAGTGTGGATTTAAGAAGTGACTAGGTCATGGTATGGCGACACACACCTGTAATTCCAGCACTCTGAGACAGCAGAATTGCAAGTTTAAGCCTATCCTAGGCACTTTAGTGACTAATGAGACCTTGTCTCAAAATAAAAAATAAAAAAAGGGATGGGGGCTCCATGCAAAGGCCTTGGGTTCCATCCCCAGTAGTGCAAAAATACACAGATACATAAACAACTAAATAAAATTTAAAGAGGGATGCGCAAGGTCGTGAGTTCGGTTCCTGGTACCGGAGAAAAACCAAAAAACCAAAAAAAAAGAGGGCTGGGGATGTAGCTCAATGTGAAGGCCCTCAATTCCATCCTCAACACCACCAAAAGACCAAATAAACAACAATAATCAAAACACAAGCAAAAACAGGAGTAGAGTACGGCCCCACACAGCGGCAGCCCCTCTGTGTGGGGACCATGTCTGTGCCTCCCGGCCTTTGCTTGTGGAATGACTAAGTGAGGGTGTTGACTGCAAGGTCTTGGGGACAGTAGGAAGGACTGACCTGGCGGGGGCCTGGCGGGCCCCGGTAGACTTGGACGTGGCCGTGCTGGGGCCTCACGGTGAGGAAGGTGTGGCTCTTCAGGGCTCCCGGTCCTCCAGCTCCGGGTCCTCCAGCTCCCGGTCCTCCAGCTCCTGGGTCAGATACTTTCTCAGTCTCTGCTGCTTTTGCTTACATCTATCGGGATTTCTTCCCATTTTGCTAACTTGCTTTTCTGTTCTTTACTGTGTGTTCTCCACTTCCTCAAAGCATTTCATATTTCTTCTTCCACAACCTCCGTTAGACGTTTAATCATGGACGTGTCCTGTGCAGTGGGAGAA